CATTTATGTAACACAATAACTCCTGCACATAGAAGATGATAATACATAAATTACAATTGTTTTCTATTCGAACGATTTAAAACCATTAAAAAAAAAACAAGTGATTTATCATTATTATTATTATTATTATAGATAAAAGTCATAGTATAGGCGCCAGTGTTTTATGTAATTTTTTATGTGCTTTACTGCTTATTATCAAGAAATATATGGAATGGAAGAGCAAATAAAAAATATGTTATTAAGCAATAACTGTGGCATCAAGTGATAACTCACATAATTTTATTAATTAAAAGTAATTTTAATAAGTTTTATTATTGATACACTTTGATGATAAAATTAAATGAAGGAAATGAGTTTTTTTTAAAAATCAATTTCTACTATTATCAATTGTTAGAAGGTTTCTATGTCATACAAATAATAAATAAATAATTAAATAAATAAAAACTAATCACAGCCTTACATATGTAATAATAATTAATTTATAATTTTTTATTTTTTCTATTTGTTTTAAATTTTTTCAAAAATTGATTGATTTTTTTTGTTATCATTATTATTATTAATATTATCATCATAGTATGAGATTTGCTTTCGTCCAATCCATATATTTTCCCTAATAATGTGGTAGAAACCAGCCATAGCTTTCGCATAGCAATAAAGCATGTTTTTAACACATATAAGTCACCTAAATCATATTTTTAAAAACATAATAATAATAATAATAATAGTAGGCCTCTACGAAACCGTTTATTCGTTTAAGGGGGGAGGAGGGAAAGGGCGAGGGTGGTTATGTAAATTACATATCTCCGAATATTCCAGCAAAAGTTTTTCTTAAATTTTTCATTGTGTCTTCTGAATCTTCCGTTAATTGCGTTTGTGAACTTTGTCTTCCTAAAGGAGCTCTAGGTCCCGTAGAACTTGCCACAGATGATTGCGAGGCTAATAATAATAATAATAAATTAAGCAAATTTAAAAAAAAATGGTAAGAGAAAATTTGTTTTTGTTGATAAATCGTACCTTGGGAATCTCGCCTTGGAAGAGTCGGTGGATGAGCAGTTGTGTAGTATATCCGTGTTCGGTTGGTAAAGCTGGATCGACAAATGATCTTTGGGGATCTTCTGTCGGAGAACTTAATCCACCGACGCTGCTA